GTGTAATTGTACACGAAACGTATCCAGACGGCAGCTGCGGACGGAGTCGATCTCTCGACGTGGGGACGCTAGATAAGGGCCTTGTATTTCGTGTGTTCTTACACGAAATGGAGGCACTAATTTCGTGTGTTTGTCCACGAAATGACAGTGAAACAGCCAAAGATTTATTTTATTTATTATTATTATTTAGACTGATGTTAATAGTGTTTTATTTAACAGATGGCAGGCAAAGGGAAATGAAGTGCAATTATGCGAGCAGTTCGTGAAGAGGCTGAACATCAAGAGCGCGAGCGCGAGCGCATGACTATGTCTACACGACGTAGGCGAGAGGCTGAGAGAGCTGGTGAAGCCAGATCATCAGTTCCACATCCCGATGTTGGGTCTTCTCGTGCTATGGAGGAGGAGGAATATGTGGCCCCCGTTCACGAGACTGAGGTTGTAGGTCGTGGAGGTCGTAGAGGTCGTGGAGGCCGAGGACGGGGCCGTGGAGGTCGACCTTATACTCGAGTCAATCCGGATGTGCTAGATGGTCCATTTCCCGGTGGCCCGCGGGATCCGTCTTTGATACCGAGTTTCAAGTCGCACGTAGCGGCATATATTTGGAGGGGAGAAGTAAGTTAATTACTTGTTTTAATTTTAATATTATAATTTTTGTATCTTCTATTAAAATATTTTTATAGTTGATTAATTAATATGTTTTCTAAATAAATGATTGCAGGAACGTCCGGTTGGACGAGTGGAGTCCCGTATCAACTCCCTGAACCAATTCAACTACGAGAAGATAGCAGATGCCCTAGAAGACGTAGATGTATCCGTAGACAAGCATTTTCTGCGGATGACCGGTTTGTATCCCCTAGCCCGATGTTATTTACAGGGCCTAGATATTCCGTTGTTGTTTGCATTCGTGGAGCGGTGGCAGCCGGAGACGAACAGCTTCCATATGCCGTGGGGAGAGATGACTATCACTCTCCACGATGTCCAGATGATTCTAGGTGCCAATGTGGAGGGACGGGTGGTCGCGCCTAGGTACGACGATGCCACCGAGCGGACAAACTGCGTGTATTTGCTGTCCGAGGCCTTAAACCTCGAGTTTGAGGAGATTGACGAGTCGTGGAAGCATGGGGGCCCCACATGGAGGATGTTACAGGGACAGTTGTTGATGCCCGACACGCCCATGAGACGCCGAGTTCAGATATACCTGGTGTTTCTCCTCGGATCGATTTTATTCCCCGACAAGACATGTGATCGGGTGAAACCGTGGTATATGCACGTGCTCGAGGATTCAGTGCTTGATCAGGTCGGCACGTATTCGTGGGGTTCGGCCTGTTTGGCCAATCTATACAGAGAGTTGGGTATATGCAGCCGAGCACAGTCGAGGGGCTTGGCGGGTTGCACCACCCTTCTTCAGGTAAACTTTAATATATTTGGAACTTATTTTGTTCATTTTAATATATTTTAATAAATTTTAATATCTTTAAATAAAATATTTGCAGTGCTGGATATACGAGTATTTCCCGAGATTCCAGCCGCCGGATGAGAGCGAGCACTACCGCGAGTTTCAGCCTCGATGCAAGAGGTGGAACGCGCCACCAAAAGCGGGCACGCTCGAGCATATTCGAGGTTTACTCGATAATATGACAGCGGATGATGTAAGTCTTTTATATTTATGTATTTATATTTTTTGAAATATGAATTTTTCGATATGAATTTTTTGATTTAAATATGTCTTGTAGTTTGTTTAAATATGAATTTTTTGATTTATGTATTTATATTGTTTTCTGTTTAGGTCGAGTGGCTACCGTATGGTCGGGATATACACGAGAGTATCCCTCGTACGTTGTATCATGGCACGATCCAGTACATGTGGGTCGTAGAGCCGTATATGCCTGATCGTTGCGTCCGACAGTTTGGATGGGTTCAGGATATACCACGCGGCTTGATTCCGTCGATGGAGCCATGTTCACGCGGTCCCAAAGGAGGTACATCGTACAAAGTCAACTACCCATTTCCGGGTGGGATGTGGGACATGGTCCAGGCTCATTCCATTCATGCCCGCGCATACAAGACGGCACGACAACGGGGGGAAGTCGACGAGCACTACATGGAGTGGTACACCGATCGGACTCATCCGAAGATCAACAACCCCGACGTAGGCCCGGCTCCAGTGCATCGAGAGAATGTGAGGCCACCAGATCAGCCGGCTTTTTACCAGGTAGTACGTGCCCTGTACCCGATCACCAGGAGCACTGGACAGGACTGGATGCAGCAGTTTGCCGATCTACGTGCCGATCTTGGAGATATTATGCAGCCCGCCGCCCGATATCTTGGCATCGACCGTGACAACGACGACGACGATGACGACGACGACGATCATGAGGTGCAGCCGCCGAGGAGAGCGAGGCGGTAGTTTATCGGTTTTTTTTGCCAGTTATATATTTTTATGAACTATTTAATTTTAAAGTTTATTTTTATTATTATTAGGACTATGCATTTTTATTATTGTTAGGAACTATTTAATTTAATAATTTATTTTAATTTTTAATTAGGAACTAATTATTTTACTAATTTTGTTTATTATTATTACGAACTATTTAATTTACTAGTTTGTTGTTTTGTATTTTAATTCACTAGTTTTATTATTTGAATTTAGAAACTACGTACAACTGAAGCAATTAAAGTACATATTTAAACAACCTTACAAACAATCTTACAAATTTAATACATTCCAAAAACATAGATTAAACATATAAAATGCAAAACACAACGCTACAAATTTAAATATTCCAAAACGTAAGTTTGAATGCAAAATTAAAACAA